TGAGAATACTGTCAAGCAAAGCTGATTCAAACACTTGGGAGAGCTTCACAAGGAGTGGACTGAAGCTGAAGTCAACGCATCAAGAGTCACCACGCTCAGACTTCTTCAGGAAAAGGGCTACCAAGCCACTTCTGAAACAGAAACAACGTCAGAAGCATCTTACCTGGGCTAAGGAGAAAAATAACTGGACTGTTGCTCAGTGGTCCTCTTTTATCTGAAAAGTCCTCTTTTCAGATAAAAGTAAATTTTGCATTTGATTTAGAAATCAAGGTCTGGAGTCTGGAGGAAGACTGGAGAGGCACAGAATCCAAGCTGCTTGAAGTCCAATGTGAAGTTTCTTAAGTCAGTGATGATTTGGGGTGCCGTGACATCTGCTGGTGTTGGTCTATTGTGTTTGATCAAGTCCAAAGTCAATGCAGCCATCTACCAGGAGATTTTGGAGCACTTTATGCTTCCATCTGCTGACAAGCTTTATGGAGATGCTGATTTCCTTTTCCAGCAGGACTTTAGCAACGGACCACAGTGCCAAAACCACTTCCAAGTGGTTTGCTGACCATGATATTACTGTGCTTGATTGGCCAGCCAACATGCCTGACCTGAACTCCACATGGAATCTATGGGATATTTTCAAGAGAAAGATGAGAAAGAGTCGATCCAACAATACAGATGAGCTGAAGGCTCAGTAGTGCCTCAGCAGTGCCACAGGCTGATCGCTTCCATGCCACACCTCACTGATGCTGGAGTTTGTGCTAAAGGAGCCCCGACCAAGTATTGAGTGCATAAATGAACATACTTTAAAGAACTTGAACTTTTCTGTTTTGCAAATCCTTTTTTTGATTGATCTTGGGAAATATTTTGAGATACTGGATTTTTGACTTTCATGAGCTGTAAGCTCTAATCATCAAAATAAAAAAATAAAAACTTTTGAAATGTTTTACTTTACATGTAATGAATCTAGAATATATGAAAGTTTCACTTTTTGAAATAAGTTACAAAAAAATGAACACTGTGTTGGAAATTCAAACATCCTGTGATGCATGTATGTGTTGGACACTGTTAGTAGACCAATAGAGAAACTTGTGAGTGAGTGTGAAACGTGTGTTAGGATTCATTTTAGTTGAAGAAACTCTATATAACAGTGCTGAAACAAAGCCATTTGAATTTGGTTTATTGGTATTATTCATTACTGAACAAAACAACCATAGGGGAAAAACACCTAACCTATTTATTTGACATTAATACCTAAAACAACATCAAGCTGGCAACAGTTTGTTTTTTTCTTTTTAGGCACTTGTCAATTTATTAAGCTTCATTGGGGATCAAGATTACTTTCTGCATGAAACTGGCCTGATAACAGTGTCTACGTTGTCTTGTCATGTCTTCTTCAATGCCACCTCTTAATATCTAAATTAATGTCAGGCCATGGTGAGGCTCATTAGAGGACTGTCGTTAATGTTATTGCTGCTTTTTGGCACTTTAACTCCATCCTTTGTTTTAGAGCTCATGTATTGTTTGCTCTCACATAAATGAATTGTTGTTTTTTTTTACTTTCACGCCACGACACATTACAAGCAGAGCATGTAGATCAGGCCGAGATCCTCTGATGAACCAGCTAATCAATATCTCGCTAGGCATACTAGAAACTTCCAGGCAGGTGTGTTGAGGCAAGTTGGACTGAGTTCGGACACCCCTAGATTACAGAAATTATTGCCTTACACTAATTTGGCTACTAAATTTGCCTGTATGCTGAATGTTCACAGTATATAGGTATTTCATCAGCATATCAACGTGCATTTTTATGTTCCAGGGATTTTTTTTATGGTTTTTATGTAAAGATATAATTTGTCCCAAACTCAGACTGTCAATCGTATAAATTATAAATGTCAATTATAAAAAAATGTTGATGATCTAAACACAGCGAAATTATTAAACTATTTTGATATTTATTGTTATTATTATTATTTAAAATTATTTAAATATTTGTTATTTAAAAAAATCACAATAACTTGTATATATATATATATATATATATATATATATAATTTTGTGTCATTTTCATTAAGCTGTCATTTTGTAAAATAATGCTAACAAAGTGTGATTAAGCTTCATTGGGGATCAAGATTACTTTCTGCATGAAACTGGCCTGATAACAGTGTCTACGTTGTCTTGTCATGTCTTCTTCAATGCCACCTCTTAATATCTAAATTAATGTCAGGCCATGGTGAGGCTCATTAGAGGACTGTCGTTAATGTTATTGCTGCTTTTTGGCACTTTAACTCCATCCTTTGTTTTAGAGCTCATGTATTGTTTGCTCTCACATAAATGAATTGTTGTTTTTTTTTACTTTCACGCCACGACACATTACAAGCAGAGCATGTAGATCAGGCCGAGATCCTCTGATTAAACTCAACGTGATTTGCTTCGGCTGTGCAGAATTTCTGATCCGAGAACAGGGTGTATTAGTCAAGGTGTGCATTCACACAATGCACATTGTTAAGCGATTATTCTGGCTCATGGTAGCACATCTGGAGCAAGAGGTAGGAATCTGGGACTTTGTGTCACATTGCAACTTGAACTTTGTGATTTAACACGAGCTGCTAATGAGTCGTAGAATGAGTGTTATTGTGAAATTGCATTAAACGCCAGGAGATGCAAAATGATAATTGAGTAATACAGCGGCAAACAGCAGTTGGGCTCAGTTTTTTAAAAATAAACAAGAAATGGAGCACTATAAACAACATTTTGAAGAACTATGGTAAACTATGTACTAGATTTTTACATTTTTTGAAGAAAATGTGAATGCAAATGATGCCAGGGCATTGCTATAGGCACTGTAAATTCTTCTATACGTCTGTTACCTTATCTTCCCCTCCATTCTGTCATCTTAATCCCCCATCTTTCTGTCCTTGTCGCTGTTTTGTTTCAGTAATGGCAGTCACAGTGCTCAGGGGCTCTGGAGGTATTTCGGAAAAATCAGAGAAATCAATCCAACATGAAACTGAAGGAAAACATCTAATGTCATTGAGCAATAACTCTCTCCTGTCAACGACAAACCTCAGAGCGAGAGCCTAGGGTGTGTTTGGCCTCTCGGTCTTATCATGAGACTCACACACACACTTGCACAGCTGCTCTTTTCTTCAGCATTTCCAGGACAGCTCAATGTGTGAAGGGGAGGGAGTCTTATTTGGTGGATTTTTATTTGACATTTAAATTACTTGACAAAAATGTTTAATTTTGTCAGAATTGTTCAGAATTGAAAATTGTTTCTATGCCAATTAGAAGCCAAACAAGCTATGCTGCCATCTACCACAGAAAATAACTTTAATGATTTTATTGAATACTTTTGCAGTAGTTGTTTCTTAGGTTGCTAAATAAATTTATAGATTAACTAAAAAATTTAGTTTTTACATTGAGAACTGTTTACCGGTATGTAGAGAAAAGAAAAACTATCTATCTGTCTATCTATCTATCTATCTGTCTGTCTGTCTATCTACACTGAACAAAATTATAAACGCAACACTTTCGTTTTTGCCCCCATTTTTCATGAGCTGAGCTCAAAGATCTAAGACTTTTTCTATGTACACAAAAGGCCTATTTCTCTCAAATATTGTTCACAAATCTGTCTAAATCTGTGTTAGTGAGCACTTCTTCTTTGCCGAGATAATCCATCCACCTCACAGGTGTGGCATATCAAGATGCTGATTAGACAGCATGATTATTGCACAGGTGTGCCTTAGGCTGGCCACAATAAAAGGCCACTCTAAAATGTGCAGTTTTATCACACAGCACAATGCCACAGATGTGGTAAGTTTTGAGGGAGCGTGCACTTGGCATGCTGACTGCAGGAATGTCCACCAGAGCTGTTGCCTGTGAATTGAATGTTCATTTCTCTACCATAAGCCGTCTCCAAAGGCGTTTCAGAGAATTAGGCAGTACATCCAACCGGCCTCACAACCACAGACCACGTGTAACCACACCAGCCCAGGAGTGGACCAACATTCCACAGGCCACAATCAACAACCTGATCAACTCTATGCGAAGGAGATGTGTTGCACTGCGTGAGGCAAATGGTGGTCACACCAGATACTGATTGGTTTTCGGACCCCCCCGGACCCCCCAATACAGTAAAACTGCACATTTTAGAGTGGCCTTTTATTGTGGCCAGCCTAAGGCACACCTGTGCAATAATCATGCTGTCTAATCAGCATCTTGATATGCCACAGCTGTGAGGTGGATGGATTATCTCGGCAAAGGAGAAGTGCTCACTAACACAGATTTAGACAGATTTGTGAACAATATTTGAGAAAAATAGGTCTTTTGTGTACATAGAAAAAGTCTTAGAGTTCAGCTCATGAAAAATGGGGGTAAAAACAAAAGTGTTGCATTTATAATTTTGTTCAGTCTATCTATCTATCTATCTATCTATCTATCTATCTGCTGTAAACATAACATTTTTTACAACAAACTTCAAGTCAAAATTATTGTCTGAGTTAATAATTTTGAACTTGCAACCTAGAACATGAATTTAAATATACACAGTCACAACAAATATGACATGTTTATATAATCTGCAGTGCTGGAAGTGAAAGACAGGGGGCGGCTTGTCTTATATTCACAAAATATTCACAAACATCATGCTTAAACACTAACTGACAGAATATTGAATACAAAATCAGTTTGGCATTCTGTTTTTCTTCTTGCCCCCATGAACACATATCTTATTATATTCTGCAACTCTTGTCAAATATAACGCCTTGGATTAAGGCTTGGATTCATTGTGCACAACCATAAAAGTTCCCATTAACAAGCAAGCACACATTCAGCCACCCAAAACCAACAAGCATGTCTTGTTCGGTGGAGGATCATATTATGGAAATTTACCACTCGACACAAACAAGACGAATAACCGACCGCTGGGTTGCAGTCTCAGATTTGATTATGGACCCTTAGGCCGTGTACTCGCCAGGAAGAACATTAACACACTCGAGAAGACTGAACACAAGCATGGCTCATATCGCACCCAGTGTGTGTGTTGTTCAGTCTCCAAGGCGGAGTGTTTATGGATTTCACACTTGGCTTGTGCGAATGCTCCTCAAACTGTAAGCAACTCAATTTGAAGATCGCCTTCTGCACCGGGGCCTTGGCAGCGCTAACTGCCAATTATATCTCCTGCAATATAATTTGTGTCACATTAGGAAAATCACATGGTAAAGTGATTCGATAATAACTTAACATAAATGAACGAGCCGGGGTTCAAATTATTTCCTGTCACAGATGCTGAAAGCTAAATCCAGTGGGTGGAATTGAAAGTCAACCAAAGTGTGAACATTTCCCAGGATTTCCATACGGCACAGCTCTCCGGTGTTGTTGGCAGTAATGAGGACACAGTTGTTATGTGTGAATGATGAACTCACCGCTGGAATGGCCACCGATATGAGTTCAACATGCGAGAAGTTAAGGTGCAGCCATTACGTGTCCAAATTACTGTGAAAATCAGATAGAGGAGCATGAAAATTTATCCAGCATGAATATAGCAGTGTATGGTTTTGTAAAATCTGTAATCTGAACCCTGTGGTATATAGAGTTTGTCCACTAAGGGTGATACAATGAGTCCAATGGGCCTTTTTAGGAAACGCTATTGTGTGCAGATGGAAAAAAAGACAAAAAAGTGTGCACTTCAGTTCATCAGAGCCAGATCCTCTTTGGAAAAAACAAGTTTAAGAATGAAACGTTTTAAAAGTAACCAACACGGGATAGTTCACCTAAAAATGAAACTTCTGTCATCATTTATTCACCTTCATGTAATTCCAGACCTGTATGATAGTCTTTCTTTTATCAAACACAAAAGAAGATATTTTGAAGAATGTCAATAACAAAATAGTTTATGTTACCATTGACTTTCACTGTATAGATTAAGACAAACACACACACACACACACATAATGACATTTCTATTATTATATATTATTATATATTATTAAAATTATGACAGAATTTTCATTTCTGGGTAAACTATCCCTTTAAGAATTAATATTAACCTTACATTAAAACAATTTTTTTAAATGTACAAGAAAACAAGATCTTAGACTGTGTTAAAGAACTATTTTTGGAAAACACATTGGTGCATGTGTCTATAAACACTAACTTATTAAATAAACTAAAGCTTACATAACATCAGTACTGGAGTCAAAGTAGTTGCCGGTTTATTTTAAAGGATAAAATCACAAAAGAAAAGTATTAGCTAAAGGTCAAACAAACCTTTCTTGAATTTTAAAGTCTCGGTTTTGAGTTCTATTTTCTTGCAGATGACAAGGTCAAAAGTTATGAACTCAACACTAAGCATTGCACTTCAACATTTAAAAATGATAAATTTTACAGTAAGAATATTTTGAAAGCAATATAATGTCCAGCTGTTCATAAAGATGTATTATGCATTTTTTAAGATGACAGTTTCCCAACACTATACTAAACTATATTTAAAGGGATAGTTCACCCCAAAAATAAAATTCTGTCATCATTTACTCAAACTCATGTTGTTGTTGTTTTTTGTTGTTGTTGTTGTTGTTGTTTTTTGTCCATGCAATGAAAGTCAGTGTTGTCTGAACCTCGTTTAGTGTAGTTTTAGTTCAACAGAAGAAAGAAGGTCATACAGGTTTGAAACAACATGAAGATGAGTAAATGATGGGTAAACCTTTAAGCTCAAACAAGTATGCATCCATATGTTCATATGCATCCATAATTACATATATGCAGAATCTTTTTTTTTTATTTATTTCATTTTGATTTTTACTAAGAAAATTGTAGCATAAAGTCTCTTAAAGTTTTTACCTGATTTCATGAAGACCACTGTTTTGAATCACAGTCTCCCCAAACATCAGCAGATACTTCCACAGAACCAGCTCGTAAAACAGCACCAGAGTATACCTAACACGGTCCCACACGTCAGGCCTAGTTATACCCCGACCGTTTGCACTACATTGATTACTGATATTAACTCCCAATGCACATCATCAAACACACATTCAATACCCACACAGACACACGGCACCTTCACTGCAGGGGACGTGTAAACTCACCATGTGGAAGCAGGTTGGAGCGTTAAACGCAGGCATATGCACCAATGAGGAGTCTTGCCCTGATCTCACACAGTCGACTACACTAGAGTAGGCCACTCAATGGGCTGAGAGAACTCCCGTAATCACGGTTCACACCCGGCCTGCTAATGCTAATGACTGATCTTTCATTCACGCTGACTGTTGATTGCACAGGGACAGTTTGAGTTAGTGCAGTTCACAGAGAGGGTAATCAGTCCGAGATATTAACATTAATCGCATTTGCCATGCTAACCTGCCAGTCAGAGATGCCAGAGTGTTTCCCAGAGGCCATGTGTACAGTATCAGTTCTAATCTGGTATTGCAACTCTAAACAAATGCAGAAGAAGTAATCATCATTTCTGCCAAAATACCAGTTTTACAACTTTAAACCTATTAAAAAGCACAATTTGCTCACATTTATGTTACTCCAAACCTGTGGGGGGAAAAAAAGGAAAAATAACCAAACTAGTTGTTTTTTTTTCCAGTTACAAAGATGTGGATCAAACCTTTTAAGATTTAGGAAAATTAAAAGCATCATAAAAACCTTAATATTACATACATAGTACATAATAATATTATAAACATAGTCCATATGATTCATGCACCATATTTCAAGACTTCTGAAGCCATAAGATAGTTTGAGTAACAGGCCAAATGTATCTTGTATTCGCTTACTTCTGAACTGGATCAGTCTGAATAATGAACAAATCATTTAGACCATTTCTGTGAAATAGATAAACTGATTCATAAAAAGATTTTTAAGAAAAAGAAACATTTTTTAATACTTTTATGGTACTGTTATTTTGTAATATGAATCCTCACCTACATTCACTGCATTGTAAAAAAAAAATGCGTTGGGGGTGGGGGGGATATGACAATTTTAAAGAGATAGTCCACTCAAAAATGAAAATTCTGTCATAATATACTCACCTTCATGCCGTTCCAAACCTCTGTCCATTTCTGTTTTCTGCAGAACATACAAAAGGATATCTTTAGGAATGTTGTTAACCCTATTGACGTCCATTGTATTTTTGTCCATATA